TTTTTTTTTTTTTACTTAAATTTTTTACTTTTTTTTTTCTTCTTTTCTTAGGTGAAAAGCGAGAATTGAACTCGCATTACTAAATTCACTGGTCAGCGTTTTAACCTTTTAAACTATATTCACCTTATAACACTCTATAGGAATTGAACCTATATTTATAATTTCGAAGATTATTACTTTAACCAATTAAGTTAAGAGTGTAAATTTTATATATCAGGGAAAAAAGGAATTGAACCTTTAAAATTAGTTTTGGAGACTAATATTTTACCAATTAAATTATTTCCCTTTATAATTTTATAAAAAAATTTATATATGAATAACAGAATTAATTTTTTTTATTAAATATTTGTAAAATTTAATATACCTTTACTTAATTCATAAATAAATCCTATAGTTAATACTAATATAAATATAGTACCTATCCAAAAACCAAATAAAGAGATATTATATAAAACAGAAGCAAAAGGAAATAAAAATATTACTTCTATATCAAATATTAAAAATAATATTGCAACTAAATAAAATTGTATATTAAATTTTTCTCTAGCTGTACCTATAGTATCCATACCACATTCATAAGGTGATAATTTTGAAAAATCTGGTTTATTAACTGGTATTATAAGATTAATTATTAATAAAATTGTTAATATAATAGGTGTTAATATTATAAATAATAATAATGTATTCATTCTTTTTTTTTTTTTATTTTTTTTTTTTAATTAACTATAGTTTTTCGGATAAGCAAGAATCGAACTTACAATCTTCTAATCCCAAATTAGAGGCGTTACCTATTACGCTATTATCCGTTTACGGGTAGAATGGGATTTGAACCCATGAAAGTAAATTTAAACTTTACTCCATTTCAAGTGAAGCACCTTAAACCAGCTCAGTCATCTACCCTAATATAAGAATTATAAAACAAATTGAGGAAGTAAAGGAGTTTGTATAGAAAGAGGGTTCTTTCCAAGGATTTCTGTAGGAAGTATAATATAAATTGTACCTCTTAATCGATGATAAGCAACTAATATAGATAAAGCAATTGCAGATTCAGCAGCAGCAATAGATATTATATATAAACCAAATATTTGAGCTAACATATCATCATGAAGAATAGAAAAATAAAGAACTAAAATAGTAATAGCTAATAATATAATTTCTATAGAAATCAAAACTAAAAGATAATGTTTTCTATTTAAAATAATACCATAAATACCTATTAAAAATAATAAGAAAGCTAATTTCATAAATTAAAAATTTATATAGGAAAATATAATCCTTTTGTTTAATTTAAAACGGAAAAAAGGGGATTCGAACCCCCAAGGATGTAATACATCCGCAGTTTAGCAAACTATTGCCATACCATTAGGCGATTTTTCCTTTAATAAGCCGCCGATAGGCATATCTGCGGATAGGCCCCCTAGAATGGCCGATTATCGGCTAATAATAATTTATACTAAACTAAGCCGTAGCTCTGAATTGAACAGAGATTAGAATCATTAACAGTGATTTGCTTTACCATTAAGCTACTACAGCAATTTAATGCCTCGAGGATGACTCGAACATCCTACCCGGAATTTTCAGTTCCGTACTTTAACCTGTTAAGCTATCAAGGCATAAATTGAGAGTATTGGGACTTGAACCCAAACTAAGCAAATTAAAAGTTTGTTACTCTACCAATTAAGTTATACTCCCTATTATAATTAAAATTTAGCGAATAGGCCTCAGGGTAGCATTGGTTCCAAGGGGCTTATCAAAATATAAAATAAATATTTTGATTAGATTAGAGAGTGAATTGAACACTCATAATCAAGTTTGCAGCTTGATACTTTACCGTTAAGTTATCTAATCTTTTTATGAAATCGAATGGAATTGAACCAATATTTTTTGCTTATCAAGCAAACACTTTTACCTTTAAGTTACGATTCCTTTATAAAAAATTATGATCTCAGTCCGATTCGAACGAACATAATAGCAGTGAAGGTGCCATATCCTACCTTTAGATGATGAGATCGAAAATATTATACGGATCTACGATCAGATATGCGAGTGACTGATTCGAACAGTCTCCTTAAGATCATGAGTCTTATATGCTCCAAAAACACTTACTCGCATTAAAATTTTTATTTTGAGGAGAGTAAGATTTGAACTTACATCTTTCCTGTTATGAGCAGTTGGCTTTACCATTAAGCTATCTCCTCTTTTATTATTTTTTTTTTGAGAAGACTGGGATTCGAACCCAGAATGGCCGGAACCATCACCTTTACAGGGTGATTGCAATACCAAAATGCTTTCTTCTCTTTATTACCTACTGAGGGATTCGAACCCTCACACACAAAGTGTAAACAATTTTAAGTTGCTTGAGTCTACCAATTTCTCCAAGTAGGTATAATAAAATAAGCCAGATACGGAATTTGAATCCATATAATATAATTTACAAAATTATTGCTTTACCAATTAAGCTAATCTGACTTCTATTTTATATATAAAAATATAATTATATATAATAAATTATAATAATTTAAAAAATTAATTTATTAAAATAAAAAAAAAAATAAAAAAAAAAATATAAATAGAAAAAATGTAAGAAAGAATTCAACATAAAATAATAAAAATAAAGGGAAAAAAATATAAAGGAGATATAAAAGATTAAAGAAATATAAATGATAAATAAATTAAAAGAGATATTAATAAAAAAATAAAGATTGAAGAATTTATAGAATTAATAAATAATAAGTATAAAATAGAAAAAATGTAAGAAAAATCCAAAATTTATATATAAATTAAAATAATGAAAATATAAATTATAAAGATAAAACTGAATATAATAAAAATAAAAATATAAGTAATAATAATGATAAAAATAATTGGTTTTATAAAGTAAATAAAATAAAAAAATTATATAATTTAATTGATATAATATAAAATTTAATTAAAAAAATAATTGATTTTATAATAAAAATATATTTTATATTAAATTTTTTAATATCAAATTATTTTTAAAGTTTGAATTGTCTATAATAGGTTTAAATTTTGAAGAATTTATAATTATATCTAAATTTTATAAATCTATATTAATTTTTCTTATATAATTTATATAATTTTTATTTAATTAAAAATTCACTCTAAAATTTATATTACAATATTATCTATCTAAAAATAAATTAAATATTTATAACCCCAAATTATATAAAATTTGGGGGAATATTTATAAAATAAATAAATTAAAAATAAAAATTAATTATTTTAATTTTTATAAATTTTGTATAATTAATAAAAAAAAATTTTAAAAATTTTAAAAATTTAATATTTTATCCGAATATCTTTAGATATTCCATCTAATTAATAAAGTATTTTACAATTGAATATTAAAATATTAATTAAATAATTATAAATAATAAAGTTATTAAAGATTTAAACAAAAAAGAATTAATATAAGATAAGAAATTTAAAAATAACTAAAATAAATAACATTCAAAAGAAGAATTTACTTAAAAATTATTATTATTATCTAAATTAAGATTATTATAATTTAATATAAAATTTAGATAGAGCCTAATAAATATAAAGAAAAAAATAAAATTCCTATGATAGCTAACCAAGTTAAGAATATAATAATTAAATTAACTATTTTATTTGAAGTATTAATAAACCTTATATATTTTAATAGTAAAGGTCTATTTTGGACATACTTATATTTTTCTAAATTTAATAATGAAATTATATTATTTAATAATATTGAATTTAAACCGATAAAAGCTATAATTCCATATAATATAATTATAATTAATATACTTTCAGTAAGACTTAAAGTATTTAAATAATCAAAATAATTTTCAAATATAGAAGGAGAAACAAAAGGATTTTCAGGACTTTCTGGTCTTTTTGGTAAAGAAGTTGTTGTAGATGTTGATTTATTTATAACTTGTGAACCTAATGTTGTAAGCATAGCTAGTCCTCCTGCCATTCCTCCAGCAATTAATCTCTGATTTGGTGCACCTCCTACTGCTTTCATAGCTTTTGCTGTTGCATAGCCTACACTAGCAGCACCAGCGGCTGGTGCTATTTTTTCAATACCTTGGCCAATAGATTTTAAACCTTCATTTAAAACAGTTGTGCCGTCTATAGAATGATTAACATTTACATTTACTTCAGATGATTTACTTTTATTTTCAACAGATAAATTATCTTTACTATCATTTGTTTTTATAGGAGTATTTTTATTTATATTATCTCCAGAACCATCAGCATATATTATTCTATTTTTAAAAAAAAAAAAAAATAAAGGAATTACCACTAAAAAAATTATTCTTAATAATAAATAATAACCTGAAATAAGATCTAAAATAAACCCAATAGTCAAACTGAATAATAAAATGTATTTCCAATATCTTAAAAATAATTTAATATAACTATTTTTTTTTAATAAAGGTAAGAAATATATTATATCTAAATTTGAATCTATAATATTTATATCAAATATAAGAATATAAAAAGAGATAAAAGTAGTTAAAATAGCAATAAAATGATTAATAGAGATATTACCAATAATATAAGTATTAATCATATTAAAAATAGATTTAATAAATGTAAAATCGAAATTAGAAATTTTAATAATTCTTAAATAATAACCAGCACTAATAATACTAGTTAAAACAGCTATTAAAGCTAAAAAATAATAACCAAAATAAATAGATTGATAAAGAATATTTAATTTACCAAAAAATCCAATAAAAGGAGGAACACCCATAAAAGAAAATAAACAAATAGTTAAAGAAAAACTTAATAAAGGTATAGAAAAATATAAATTTTTTAATTGACCTAAAACTTCAATTAAATTATATTTATTAAGACTCATTAAAATAAGAAATATACAAACAGAAGTTAAACTATATTGTACTAAATAAAAAAATATATATTTTATATTTGATAGTTTTATAATACTATATATTAATAAAATATATCCTATTTGTGTTATACTACTATAACTTAATAATCTTTTTATTCTATATTGTATTAAACCTAAAATACTTCCTATAATTAACGAACAAATAGAACTAAATGAAAAAACTTTATTTGAATTAGGAATATTTTTAAATATTTTATTAAAAAATGTACTTATTATAGTAATAAAACTTATTTTAGGTAATATAGAAATCCAAGATGTTACTATTGTAGGTACACCATCATAGACGTCAGGTCCCCAATTATGAAATGGTACAGAACCAATTTTAAATAATAAACCAGATAAAATAAATATATATCCTAAAATAATATATGGAATAATTGAAGAAAATAAGTATTCTTTATTTATATTATCTTTTAGAATTACTATATTTATTAAAATTTCTATTTCATTTAAATTAGTTAATCCTAAAGAACCATATATAATAACTAATCCACCTAATAATAAAGTACTAGTAAAAGATCCTAATAATAAATATTTTAAACCAGCTTTAATACCAGATTGACTATCTTTATTTATACCTAAACCTGAAGTATTATAATTAAATAATGAAGAAAGAATATATAATGGAAAACTTATTAATTCTATAGATAAAAAAATTGATATTAAATCATAAGATTCAATTAATATTATCATTCCTAATAAACTTAAAAATGTTAATAAATTATATTCACTTGATTTTAATATATTTCCTTTTTTATTTTTTATTTCACCTATAAAATTAATTAAAAAAGCACATAAATATAATAAAATTTTTATAAATAATAATAAATTTGATATGAAATATAAATTATTATTAATTAATATATTTCTTATTATATTTGATATATTTATTAAAATTGTAATATTTATTAATAAATATCCTATTAAGTATATTATAATTCTATTAATATATATAGAAAATAAAATTTTACTTCCTATTAGTAGTAATATAAATAAAATTCCTATAATTAACATATTTAATTATTAATTTTATTATTCCCTTTTTAACCATATATTATATATAGTCAAAAAAGGAATTATGTTTTGATTGTTTATTAAACAATATATTTATAATTTTTTATTAAATATTATTTAAAATATTATTATTTAAATACAAAACATTATTTTTATTTATTAATATATTTATTTAATTTTTTTTTTATTAAATTTTTTTATTAAATATAAATTAATTAATAAAATTTAAATATATTTTTATAAATGTATAATAAAATTTATTAAAAAATTTATTTACGAGAAATAAAATTTTTATAAGTATATTCAGATATTTATTTAGTATTTAATATTTATTTTAATTATTATATATTAATAATTAAAATTTAGTTTTTATTTTTATAATTATCTATATTTATTTAATTTTTTTTTTAATATATTTAGATAATTTTTATATATTTAAAATTAATTAAATTCTTTT